AAAAATAGATTATAGAATTTACGCTGATGCAACTTTTTGTCTGACTGCACAACATGTAATGGAAGAGAAGGCTTGTAGAGATCTGTTTTTGACATGCCTCTAAAAGTAGATGTCATACTCCTTTTGTCTCTTCAATGTCAAAAAACATTCCTTTGAGAGGCAACTTTAGTTTTTGGGAAAGAAAAAAATCACAAGAAGACAAATTTGAAGAACATGCAGGACGATTGAGTACACATACTTATTTTCGGAACACAGCGGTTCTCCGACTGGTTATTGAATAATGAAAAGATGCATTGTCATGCAATACAAAACATTTGGAATACGTTTTCTGACTGAAAACGTAAGATTAAAAGTCATCTGCTTAATTCACAGCCATTTACAAGTCAACTACTCGGGCAATTGCAGAATCGTTTTGATCCTGAGCTTGTAAGACAAACCTAATATCACTGGATTTAAACACTTCTTTAATCTTCCGAGAACGTTCCTTCTTTAGCTCATATTCCAAGAATATTAAGTGAATACAATTATTGCAAAAAGAATTTGAATATTCATATTTGCCACTACGGCTTGGTAGTTTACTAACGAGTTAACAAAACTTAAATTCTGCTTTTTGTGTCTAAGAATACAACAATATTTTAAATATTTACAAAATAAAATATTAAATTGGAGATTTAATTGGAGCCTCACCAGTTGCCTAGCATTTGAAAGAAGATTGTTAAATACTAATTGTTTGTTGCGAAGTCTAACCCAGGCTGCATGGTTGGTTTTCGTAGTTTTCTAGGTTCTCTTTACAAAGGTTCTCTATGAAAGCATCTTAATCAAATAGCTCCCATGTTCTTTCTATGTTCAAATAACCAACTAACCTAGTTTAAGCGCGATTTTCCAAGTGAAGTTACTAGCAAAACCCGAATACTCATTAAAAATCATGTAGCTTGCCAATCGGGAGTAACATGAAAAGATAACGGCGCCAATAATTGAATTGCTGTTACGGTACGCTGTTTCTAAACTTAGATGGTCATTCCTTAATTAAATAGCCCACCAACGGCCGAGCGGTAAAGACGCTGAACACTGGTAGTTCGGTCCGAGGTTCGAATCCGCGAACGGGCTGGCTGCATGGGCGTTTTTCGTGGTTTTCCCCATGTGTAACGTGTATACGAGCCAGTTTCCCTTAGAAAGTCCTCCACGAAGGCATCCCTCCCTTTAGGCAGATAGCCCTCGTGTGCTTTGCCATAATTAAATAATCCAATCCAATCCTTAATTAAATATAATTGATTTGTAACTTCTACTAGAACTGACGGTAAGAATTGAAGTGCAAATAAATAATATCGTGTGCAATCTTGATTAATATAAATTAAAATATTTGCATAGAAAAATTTTGCATTCAGACAGAAAGTTTTTTGAAATATTTGCAATTACTTTATAAGAAGGATTTATTAATAACCGTAATAATTACTTATTATATTACTGATGATTAGGATTCAGTTCTTGACAATTACATTCTAAATTAGAATTTTAAGGATATAATGAAAATACGCTACGCACAAAAATACATTTTAGGAAAAAAAATGAGTTGATTTTTTATGTTTTAAAACTTCTTAAATTCATTTAATAAACATCGTATCCTCGTTGTTTTTATTGAATCCAGAATGTTGGGTGTCGTTTATATAATTATTCTTACTTGTCCCACAGAATCTGCTGACTTATCCAGCCATTAAGTAGCTGCAGATCATTTCTACATAACCATTGAACTTCCATTAATTCAATCTCTAGAGGGTTGTATGTTTATATCATAATTTGACTTTTATAAAAATTATTATTCTAAATCTTATGTTTCTATAAAAATATACTGTGCTTTAAAAATATGGATGATAGTATCAGCCGCTCTTTCAGCCACTTCAAAAGCAACAGTTTGTTTAGAAATAAATTATGCAGTTAATGTCATAAAATTCAAATAAACATCAAACGAAAATTCTCAGTTTTAGACAATTCGATTTAACGAAGTAAAGTAGCAGACAATAAAACGCCGAAGGTAAAAATTTACTCTTACATTAAATTTACTCTTAAATTTTTTAAAAAAAAGATACGAGAGAAATTTTAAAAAAAAAATAGTTAAAAATTTGAATAATATCATCTATAATTTAAAAAAATAGCTTTTCCATATAGTATTAATAAATATTTATTACGCATCATTGAGGGAAAAAATGTCATAATTAATTAATTCTCCGTAAAATTTTACTTGAAATTTAAGGTTAAAAATAGCTGTGGCAATTCACTGTAACAAAAATCCATAGACCACATTTGGCGTTATTATCGCTAAAAAAAAAAATGATGCCAAATTTCAAAAACGCGAAAATATGTAAATTCGTGTATATCTTAGAAAATTTTTGAATAAAAAAGTCTAATTTTTTGCAGATATGCTTAAAAATACACCTACTTTAAGATGATGGTAAAAATTTTATAGGTTATAATTCAAAATTTTTTTCGAAAAAAATTATAAAATTAATTTAAAAATAGAAATTTAAAAATAAAACCAAAAAATGGTAAATTTTTTATTTGGAATGAACCTAAATTTCGAAATGTGAGAGAAAAAAAAATCAAAAAAGTTTAATAAAAAAAGAGATATTAATAAATATTTGCCAAATTCAATTAACATTGAGGAGCTAAAATTTTGAGAGCTAATATTTTAAAAAACTACTTCGTACGATTTTTTTACAAAACTTGGTATTCTGGGCATAATTTGAGTCGTAGAATCGAAATATGTAAAAAAAATTGGCATGTTATTTCAGAAAAAGTCCGATTTTGTGTCAAAATACCTATGTTAGAATAGTGCTATATATAAATCTAATATATATCCTAAGTCGCGCTTTCGAGACATGAAAAATGCAGTTTGAATTTTGTCAATCGGCCCAATAGAACGGGAGATATAGCACTGTCCCATTTTTTTTTTTGAGCAGTGTACAAGCATATGCAAGTATTTTCCATCAGCTAAAATTCTTGTAAAAATTGATTTTTGTTTTTGTACATTTTAAAACTCAAGGACAAAATATTACTGATAGTAAACCTGACCTTCACATCATTTAAGAATTGCAACACTAGATCTAAATACATAAAATATTTTACAGAACATGATAGGATGCAAGGACTACATATTCTGAATTCCCTCAAAACACAGAATTTATATTAATGCTGTATAGATGTAAATTCATACATACCTTATTTAAAAGATTGACTTTGGTTATAGTGTTGTTGGCATCACCGCTATGCTTCACTAAGAGGGCAATCAAGCGCACGTAAGCATCCAGTGTGTGGAAACATTTGGCTCTGACAACTGTTGGTGATTTGGTATTCTGGTCATTCAGTGCATGATAACATAGATCCACACACATTTCTGTGCTCAGTCGAAAAAATCGTGTTATCAGTTCATCTGTCTTTAAAATACCCTGTAAATTCATCTAAAAAGATTACACCTACTTTAGTGCAATACTGTAAATAGAGTAATTTTACAAATAATTAAAAAAATTAGTTGTAACAACACAATAATAAAGCAATCAAACATAAATTGGTACTAACAATTAACAAAGGCAAACACAAATACATAACATAAAATTTAAAAGATAGTAACAAAGAAATAAAAAAAACTGACTATAATTAAACTTGCACAACAGGCATAGGTATGAGGAGGTGGACACCAAGACTCCATCACAGGTCATACAAGTGTAGTGTTGAAACTTTCGCCAAACGAATCAAGGCAACGTGCATGCACTTTGCCTTGAAACCAGAACTTTTTTTTAGAACTAGTGATGAATGAATCATTATTGATGCAAATGATAGCATCTTTTCTGTGTTGTACATATAATTAGTAACATGTAGTGAATAAAAAATATGTTATTACTCTAAAAGTACTTTTTGTGTGATGAGTAGATTGTCTTCAATTAACAAGAATATTCCTGCTGTTATCTGGATTAGAAAAAAGATCTCTTGACAAGATTTGATAAGACATGGGCCCAGTGAAGAGGCCACAGCTCCTTGGGGCATAACGGTGCACAGTTTGAGAACCACTTTATTAGAAGCAAGATTTGGAAGTCAAGATGTTTTGATTAATAGATAGTTATTGAAATAGGATAGTTTACTGAAAATTAACCAACTCAGAAATTCTAACAATATTAAGGAAATTAGAAAACTATTCGATTACTGTCAGAATCATATCTGCATGTTAGAAGCATTAAATGTTGCAATTAATACTTACAAAAGTATTCTATTCTCAATTCTCTTTAAATCCCTCCTCTCCGATTTTATACTTGAATATACTAAACACAAAAAAGAAAGTTTAAAATATGATTTACATAATCTAATGGGATTTACTTCTGAGCAATTAAGTGCATGGGAAAAAAACAGCTTTGTCAAATGTTCCATATGTAGTACGGCTTACTTTTCAATAATTCGTTGCAATGTTTAGAATGATTCCCAGGGAAATAATTCTACAGACATTAATGAGCATGAAAATGACAAAGACCATGTACTGACAAATAAATCTTGTATGAAGTTACTTAATTTGCAAACTTTAGTGGTAAAACTTAGCAGAGGGAATGGAATTGAAAAATATGTGAGAATTTTAATAGTGATTCCCAGTGATTTTACATTATGAAGTATACAGCTAATATCATGAATTAGAAAAGAAATTATTTGGAATTATGTGAAAGAATTATATGGTAAAGAAGAATTAATCCATGGTTTGGAGGAATTGAAAAGAAAGTAACTTATAGTAAATATTTAATTAGATTTAGTAGTCTTCTTGTTTTATCAGTGTAACTTTCAAGCTTTAGATCTATATCCAAAAATATGTACTAATATTCCTCAAATTGGTAGAGACAGGCATCTTACTGAACTGCAGACATGCAGAATTTATTTAACTGTCATGCATAATAAATCTATGTGGATTTTCTGTATGAAAAATAGTCTTTAGAAATTTCTGTTCTTACAGGAGCATATGTAGCAGAAAAGCTTCTAACAGGGACGGTTAAAAACTCATATGTGAGTTATCATGTGTACATATCAGATTAGCATGAATAACCATAATCATTTAGTTTGTTAATCAAAAATTCATTGAAGTGTTACAAAATATAAAATCGGTAATAAAACAAATTTCAAATTAGGGCTTACACATGCCCATATTCTATGGAAGATTACGTTATTCAAATTTTGATAGCTATAGGTCACATTGCAATTCATGCAGATCCTACCAAATTTGGGCTTCCAGATGCCCATATTCGGGTGGAAACGCACGTTATTCAAAACTGGATGGCTCTAGGTACTGTTGTTTTATCAGAATGCGAGGAACATAGATTCTACGTTATTTAATTTCTTTATATATAATACAAGGTGAAAATTTGAAAAGTATTTCCCCGTTTATAGTTTTCAACGCAAAATATTAAAATGAAATTAATAGTTCTTCAGGGTAAATTGCTCCTTTGGACTTAAAAAAAAAAAAAAAAAAAAAAAAAAAAAAAAAAAAAAAATCAGTTTAAAATTATCTTGTCTTACAAAACCATTTAATAAGATTCAGAAAAAGTAGATAAAACTTCTTAAATAAATAAAAAAAATCATTCAAACTGTACCGAGTCCCCTTGTCTCGTTGAAGATGATATGCACGTCTTTAGTTTTAAATTGAATGGTATTTCTGGAATACCCAGCATCAGATAACACTGTGTGTACTTGTTTACAAATTTCTGTATTTCGTTCAGTTCCATCTAATTTTTTTGGACGATATTGTATCCCCAGATATCTATCAACATGATTGTTTCACTGACAGTCCAGTGAGCAGTGAGTTGCATGTCAGCCATGTTGTTTGTTAAAATTAAGTAAACTGCACAATGCAGTATGGGAAATCTTCCCATTTGCCCTGCTCCAGAGAGGTAGGAATATTCTACCAAGTTCTACCTCCAATTCGGCGAGGCTGTTAATGCTTGTTTGCCATGTGAATGAGACACGTTGGAAGAACTGGTTTCCGCTGTCGAATTTGCTCTTGTGAATGGGGCTCTAGTTAATGGTGCTAAAATTTTGGTTTTATTGCACCTTGACTGGTTAGGAATAACTGATCCTGCCATATCCCTTCCCTCACTGCAGCACTGAATTATCATCTCAAGAATGTTCTGGATTCCCCAACAAGAGGTTGCTACGAAATTAAATTAATCAATGTATGTTGACAACTTTTTCTTCAATAGTGGACACTACTGAAGAATTAAACAGTTCCATTAATGTATCAAAAGAAAATTATGTCGACTGTTGAATTTGATTTAAGGGGATGGTGTTTTCCTGGAATGCAAAATCCACCAGATCTAGGATACAGTTTGGAAACCTTGGTTAAATCAAAATGGTGGAAAGGTCCCTACTGGTTGAGAAATGGCCCAGAATAACAGCCATGATCTGAAATTATGCCAAGTCTTGATGTTATAAGTGTTGAAAGGAAGAAGGCAGTAATTTCAACAGTTGATTCAAATATTATGATTGAGGTTAATTTTGATAAAATTTCCTACATACCATTTTAAAGGTAATATTTTGGATCTTTCATTTTGTAAAAATGTCAGATTAAGTCCAAAAAACTGTTTGGAAAAATTACAGCAGATGAAAAGAGCCAAATTAATTCTTCTCATATTAGTGCAGAGTGAATCATTTTCTGGATTAGAGGACAAAAGATTACATCCTTTAGCTAATGACTGATTCCAATGGAATCCTTTGGGTTAAAACCAGAATTCTGAGAAGAGATGATACAAAAACTTTTCAACTTCCTATTATTCTTTGTTCTAATCATCTTATTGTAATAAAATTAATAAGAGTTATACGTGAAATGACAAATCACACAGAAAAACAATTTTTGATATCTGCTTTATAAGAATGATATTAGATCTTGAAAACATGGAAGAAAATGGATCTTGAAAACATGGAAGATCTTTGAAAACACCATTTTGAGACTCTCCTTGAAGACCAAATAAGAGAAGCAGCAGTCTTTGAGATCATAGATGCTGATTTGTCCGGCCCATTGATAGTGTAGGGAAATCAAAAATCGTGGATAGTTAGTTTTACTTATGCCATTTTTATATTAGTATTTTATAAACTGATTTTCTCTTTATCGACTGAAAGTTTCAAGTGCTTAAATGTTTCATTGCTAGATGCTGAAGACTCCATACCATCTATTCAGGCAATGGAACAAATTTTACAGGAAGTGACCGATTATTCAAATGTTCAAACCGGAATAAAATCTTGGAAGATGCTAGTATCCATAGAATTACAAGGAAATTTCTTCCATTATCAGCTCCCTGGTGGAAAGGATGGTGAGTGATTAACAGGAGACCTGAAAAGAATTCTTTACAAAGTTTTGGGACAATAATCTATCAATCATGGAGAAATGATAATTTTGAGCTACTGTGAAACAACAATGATCAGTCATCAATGAATATATAAAAGGCTTACAAGGTCTTCCAGCCCTTTTATTCCAACCACTAATGGGGGGGGGTAATTTCAGCTTGCAGTGTATTTTTATTGCCCTTTACTACAAGACACTACACCCTTATAAACATTTACATCTTATCACCGTGATTCGAATATGAGCCTAATGGTCATTAACAAACTTAAACAACATAAAAAATAGTAACCTATAGCATGCAAGCCAAGACAGCTATGAGTGCGGCTCAAAATTGTGATTTATGAAATAATAAAGTATTTATGATCTAAAGGGTATCAAAATTTACCAAAAAAAAAAAAAAAAAAAAAAAAAAAGCTTACTACTTATTTACATTATTAAACATTTCTTTCAATGTAAGCTGTTTAAGTTGCTTCATTTTTTGTGCTAATACTTTCTCTTTAATTCTGTAGACAGGCATAATCTTTTGTTCAGTTACATTGTTGAAGTCCTGTAACTGCTGTTTCGCGAATTCCGACTAACATGTCAATCAAAATTACATTTAGCTATCCTTCACTATACATATTTGGTTATGCATTATGAGCTTGGCGACTAAAGACAAGGTGTTCCGTTAAATTTTATCTTGCTTCTATCTCGCACCGAGACAATTAAGCCTGAATTGTATCAATTATTTATTATACTTATGTCTATTTCTTGCACATGCTTACGAATTATTAAAGTTCTGAATAAATAAATTCCCACATACACTTAAGCCTTATTGAATCCAGATTTGCAGATTTAATCCTTATTGCAGGTGCTAGATATCTTACCCCGCCTACTGCATCTCTGTGGGTCCTAAACTCTGCGTGGCCATACGAGCCTTGGCGCTGGTTCTGAGTTTATGTGAATAATAAATCAGTTATTCTTAATTCAAATAGCCTTAAATGTAATCTTTAAATCTATGAGTATCATTAAGAAAATCTATTTTTAGCATATGAAAAGAAATTTTTGGTAAATATTTCCTCGTCAACATTTCTAGCACATTTAACTTAAAAG